ATTGAATGGAAGGTGTGGAGATTTCCAGCGGTCCCTGATCCCCCTTCCATAGCCTCCCCACTCCCCACATCCTGAGCCACACGGCACCTTTGTTAGAATCATGAACGTCTGTGGACACGTCGTCATCACCCGGAGTCCATGGTTTGCACCAGAGGTCACTCTTGTTGGATGTTCTGTGGGTTTGCCCAGATGTATAATGATGTGTTTCCACCGTGATGATGCCATGCGGGGCATTTCCACCACCTGAAAACCCCTCTGAGCTCTAGTCCTTCCTTCCTCTTCCCAGTCCTGGGCAGCCTCCGATCTCTGTATGGCTCCCACGGTTCTGCGTTTTCTGGAACGTCAGAGAGTTGGAGTCACACACCACAGGGCCTTCCCAGATTGGGTTCTTTCACTTAGTGACATGCATTTAAGGCTCCTCCCGTCTTCCCGTGGCCCAACAGCTCATCTCTTTACGGCCGTGATTCTCTTCCACAGTCTGGATGGACCACTGTTTACGTATCCATCACCTCCTGAAGGACCTTTCGGTTGTATCCAAGTTTGGGCAATTATGAATAAAACCCCTATAAATATCCAGGTGCAGATTTTTGTCTAGACATGAGTTTTCAACTCCTTTGCGTAAGTTCCAAGGAGCACAACTCCTGGATCGTACGGTTAGAACATGTTCAATCTGTAAGAAATTGCCAACTTGTCTCCGAAGCAGCTGCACACTCTGCATGCCCCCAGTGGTGGGTGACAGTCCGCATTGTTCCACAGCCTCTCCAGGACTTGGTGTCGTCGGTGCTCCCAGAGTTGGGCCACTCTCATGGTGCGCCGCGGCATCTCCCTGTTTGCCTCTGTGCTTCCCTGAGGACATACGACATGGAGCCTCTTTCCTTGGGCTTATTTGCCATCCAGGCTTCTTTCCACCCCACACACAGACAGACACAATGACGGTCACCCCGCGCCATCATGGACCTGAGCACTGGCTACCCTCTCAAGTCCTCTGCCCCTGAAACCAGAACGAGAACTTCCTGAAGGCAGAGCTTGTGTGAATGGTCTGCCCCCCCCCAACACCTAGGTAGCAGCTTGCCCCCGAATATTCTGGGCCCCGCGTCTGCTTGTGTGATCCCGGAGAGACTGCTTCCCCAACCTGAGCCTCAAGCTCTTCATCTGGGAAATGGGAGAGGAAAAGGATCCACTTTAGAGAGCTTCCAGGGGTAAACGTGCTGATAGATACACGTAGCTCAGAGCCTGGCTCAGAGCTGAGTGCCTCAGAGCACTCAGAAAGACGAGCTAGTGGCAACAATGGTTATTCGCTTTTTGGAAGAACAACTAAGTTCTGTTGGTTCAAAGAGGAGCTGAACCGGGACAGGGCAGCTGCTATCATTCTCTGATACCAAGAAACTTGAGGCCAGCAAGCAGGTGACTTCTTGATTGTTTTCTTACAAATATTGTTTCTAAAATTAGCAACTTTGGGGTCATGGCTGGGTAGAAAAGGTTAAAACAAAGTAACCATACCACTGTGGCATCTCCATAAATTCTAACTCCCTGGGGCGCCTGGGTGGCTCAGTGGGTTAAGCCCCTGCCTTCAGCTCAGGTCATGATCCCAGAGTCTTGGGATCGAGCCCCGCATCAGGATCTCTGCTCAGCGGGGAGCCTGTTTCCCCCTCTTTCTGCCTGCCTCTCTGCCTACTTGTGATCTCTGTCAAATAAATAAATAAAATCTTTAAAAAAAAATAGGTCTTGGGGCACCTGGGTGGCTCAGTGGGTTAACTCTCTGCCTTCAGCGCAGGTCATGACCCCAGGGACCTGGGAGCGAGTCCTGCATGGAGCTCCCCTGCTCAGTGGGGAGGCTGCTTCTCCCTCTCCCTCTTCCTATTGCTCCCCCTGCTACCGCTCTCTCTCTCTGACAGATAAGTAAATAAAATCTTTTTTTAAAAAAGAATTAAATTTAGAGATTAAGAGAAATTAGCTAATTTGGGGACTTTACCCCAGGAGTCAAGCTTAAATGTGGGCAAAGGGGTGATTTGGTTAATGGAAGCCCAGTTTCTGTGTTACCACTCACTTTCTAGCCTCTGCTCAAGGCCAGTCCCCGCCTGGCCTCCTTCCTCACGCCATTAACACGACAATTAATGCAGGGCTGGAACAGGCCCAGACGAAACACTTGTTTAGAACACTTCCTCTCACTTCCCCGGCACAAACATCTATTCTGGGTTTGGGCTATTTTCCAAGTTGTGTTACATGATGATAAACAAGTTGTTTTTTTTGTTTTGTTTTGTTTTTTTGGTAAGTGAAATTTTAACTGGGTGCTACGCAAAACACAATTTAAAAAAAAACGTTATTTGAAGAAACTATTGAGCAGAAAAGTTAGAGACGTAAAGAATTGCAAGTGGTTATAAAAATGTTTTTCCACTGAGCTCTGTTTATTCCCTGGCATTTGAAAAGACCTGCTTGGACACGTTTCTGACCAGCAATATGCATTTCCCACAGATGTGGGGGGGTTGCTTTCTTATATAGACCATCAATAATTATCTATCTTCTTTTAAGGATAAAAATGGAAAGTGAAAAGTTCAAGAAATCAATTAGCTGGGCTTGAGTCTGCTGAGAAATTCAGGGCAACGTTCAGGGCTGAAATTTACAAAGTAAATCAACATAATATAAAGAAGTAAATTAACCCAGAATGTCACAATGAAAGGATAGTTCCCATGTAACCTCATAAATTTCCTGCTTGATGGATTTCAAGTCTCTGATTTCTAATAAAATTCTCATGAGAACACAGTATTGCTCCATAAAATCTCCTGAACTCTCCCCATGAGAAACGGCTGGTTTATAAGGGCGCATGGGTTCATGGCTGTGGTTTATTTATTAAAAATTTCTCAGTAAATATAACTTGGTCCAGCGCACAGCACCCAGTGATTATGGGGAGGTTGTGCATCATTTCTGCTGTCCCCAAGTATGAAGAAAAACAAGAAGAAGCATGTCAGGAACTCTCTAAACCAGAAAAACAAAAAACAAAAAACAACAGAAAACAAAACAAAACAAAACAAAAACTGTAACCTTTTTTTCTTTCCAGGAGAAAGTTCTAGGAGAGCTACTCCTTGACTTTACCTCGGGCTCAAAAAGACCCCATAGGAGTTGCACACTGGCCTTCAGAAAGTCTGAACAGCATGCCAGGGGGGTTGACAGTGAGACCCCAAGACAGAGTGAAGGCTTGGTGTCGTCTCTGTCCCCACCGTGGGCTCGCCCTCCCGGGGAGGACAGGGCGGACAAAAGCTGCCACGTGGTATTGCGAGTTTTGAGGGAATTCAAACATCTCAGAGAAAAGTCGTGTAATTCCGTGTAGTCACAAAGATACTGAGTTCATGGCTTACTCACCTCTCTTCACAGGCCTGCCACCTGGAAAACTAGTCTTCACTAAACGCCGTGTTCTTAATCTGTGCCAAACACTTGGCTAAAAGCCTTTTGGGTCTTACCCTACTTGATTCGACACACAGTCCTAATATGCAGGCTGCTCCTGTCACTCTTACTTTGGAGAGAGGGACACTTCCCGCAGAAAGGTGAAGCCATTCACCTCACAAGGAAGGGAGCGGGGATTCAAACCCAGGGAGGCGGACTGAATGTGGGTGCTCTGTCCGGAATCCAGAGGGCCTTTCAAGGTCATATCCTACTCACAGGTTCCAAGCCAACATTGGCAGAGCCCCCGTAATGAGTGAAGGAACCGATCCGTGAGGGGCCACATCTGATCTTCAGAGCAAGGCTACAGGGGAGATGACCCATCACCCCCCGCCCCCTGTGTCTATCTTTTGCTGGGCTCCCACACCCAAGAGCTGGGCCTCCGTTTCCAGCGCCGGCTGCTTACAGGGGCCTGAGTAGATGTTTTGATAAGGATTAAGTTTTGGTCTATCCCTGAGAAGAGAACGTACATAAGTTTTTTGGTTTTTGGTTTTTGGTTTTTGGAAATAGACTACTTTTTAGAGTGGTTTTAGATTCACAGCAAAGTTGAGGGAACACTACAGAGACTTCCCACTTCCCTCCACCCTGACACACGCTCTGCCTCCCTCCCATCCACGTCCCCACTAGACGTGCAATGTTACAAACGATGAACCCACACCCCCTGCCCCATCCTTATCGGCCAGAGGTCATTGTCGACATTAGGGTCAGTCTTGATGTTGCTCCTTCTATGGCTCTAGACAAATGTATAATGACATGTATCCACCATATAGTATCACACAGGATAGTTTCACTGCCCTAAAAATTCCTCTCTGCTCTGCCCATTACTCCCTCCACACCCACCCTCTGGCAAGCACAGATCTGGCTGTCTCCATACTTTTGCCTTTCCTAGAATGTCATGTGGTTGGAATCACAGTGTGTAAGCTTTTCAGACTGGCTTCTTTCACTTAGGGATATGCTCTTACGGTTCCTCTGTGGCTACTCATGGCTTCATGGGTCACTTATCTTCAGTACTAACTCATATTCCATTGTCTAAGATGAGGTGATTCTCAACTTATAGACATGAAAAGCGCTCTCTAGATCCATGGAAGTTAAACTGAACGTGGAATCCAGAAAATAGAATTGCTGGCACATTCCAGAATCCACTGTCCCCAAAGGGACACAGAAAAGGGCTTGTTTTCTTCCTTAACAGCAATAGTAATTGTCCCCATAATAAAAACCAGCCCGATGGACCCTGTCGTCCGAAATGCAGGCTAGGTATTATGCACGTCGGGTCTCAAGATGAGCTTCATGGATAAGACGCTGGGTAGCTCACAAATGCTGACTTCAAACTGAAGGGCACTTGCTACTGAAATGGGAAATTCCTCATGTTCCTTTAACCGGAAAGGATAACCGCATTTGAACACCTAATGGTCTCAGTAAACCCTTGAGCACACGACTTCAACCAGGAGAGGTCATGAGCTTGCTGAGGAAAGACAGCAGGCACTGTGTGTGCCCAGCGCGCACACGCCCGTGGCGCCGTCCCCGTGGGGTCCGGGGTGTGACTGCAGCTCTCACAGGAGCTTACGTTACACTTCGAGGGATGCTGGCGGGAGGACCAGGGAGGACGCGGGCTCCGCGCGCCGCTGGAGAGGCAACAGCGCCACCTGCTGAGCCCGCGCGGCCCTGCGTGCGCGGGAGGGCGAGCGCGCCTGCGCAGGGGGCCCGGCGGCCAGCCGCAGGCCCGGGCGGCGGAGGCGGGGGATGCTGCGCTCTGCCCAGGGCTGGGAATTCGGCCAGATTACAAGGGCATTAAGTCTCAAAGTAAAACATGAGTGGGAAGTGTGCTTAACTCATAATATCTGCCCCCTCAGCTCGCCCCCGCGGAAGGTCCCCATCAGCCACGGCCGCCGGGTCCTAGAGCACGCCGTGCATGAACCTCTGCGCGGCGCAGGTTCCTACCCAGACCTCGTCGTTAGGGCGAGATGCGACCTTGAAGTAAGTGAGAGAAGATGGCATCTGGCCTGTTATTTCCAACCCAAGTGGGAACTAAGCCAGGCTGAGCTTTGAGCAGACAGGTATTTAAAACAAATGACTCCAAATCTTATAACCAGTTCAAATGACTCCCGTTCTTACAGCCATACAAAATTCACCTGGGACCCTCGTCCGCCTGACCCCGTACTCAGATTAATCACGTTGCTTCCCGACCGCTGGGGACAACTACCTACTGACCTCCCAGTTCTTAGGACGTTTGAGCACGGGAAGCGGGGCCGGAGGAGGCAGGTAAACCTCGTTCACTTTACCGAGGCTGACGTTTAAAGCAAACGGATACATGAGGGACAGCTAGACTCCGTCCTCTTCCCGATTCCCAGAACTTCCGGAGATTCCCAGCGTGTGTGCTGGTCCTTGCATCGGCGCCATTTCATCACCCTGGAGCCGACGATGCCTGAGAAGTGTCTCGGCCCCAGCCTTTAACCATGGATGAGCTTTCTGGCTCTCAGGCCAAACAAGGTCACAAGACCAAAGCAAGATGCTCCCCCAAATATGGCTATGGCTTTGGAGCAAATTCTGTGAAACTTTTTAGTGAAAACAAGCTTAACTCTTCATCAGGATCCCGTATGCATTTGTTTTGGGACAAGCCAAGATCCAGGACAGGAGATGGAGGCCCCTCGGGTTCCGTGGCCTCAGCAAACAGCGGACCCCTAGACGCACAGGATGCCTGTCAGACTGCAACTCTTTAGAGGGTGAGCATGAGGGATGGAAACGGAGAGAAGGCTCCTGACACCGGGGCCAGACAGTTCACCCTGTGCCTTGGTGGGCATGAGTAAGAATCCTATAACCTCGCCAGGCCAGTGTATAGTACCCCCTCCTGACAGGAGAGGACTCTGAGGCTTAGGAAGGGGGACTGGTTTAGGGACAGTGAGGGAATTAGCTAGAGAAAGAGTCCAGAGAGAGCCCAGGTCTAATCTCCCACACGGTCTCCCCATCATGCTGCTTCCCTGAAGGCACAGAGAGCCCAAAGCTCACATTTGTGGTTGACTAAACCTTAGGTATAGGAAAAATTAAAAAAAAAAAAAAAAAAAAAGCACATCCTTGTTCTTTTATCAAACATTCCATACTTTAAAGTAAATTAAAGACAAAGTGTTGCCTTTAAAGGCAGAATTATCTCATCTCAGTGATGCCCTTCATTGACCTTGGTTGGTTACTGTTTGTGTTTTCTTAGTTTCAGTTTAAATAACTAAGAACAGGGGCACCTGGGTGGCTCAGTGGGTTAAGCTGCTGCCTTTGGCTCAGGTCATGATCTCAGGATCCTGGGATCGAGTCCCGCATCGGGCTCTCTGCTCAGTGGGGAGCCTGCTTCCCTCTCTCTCTCTCTCTCTCTCTCTGCCTGTCTACTTGTGATCTCTCTCTGTCAAATAAATAAATAAAATCTTTAAAAAAAAAAAGAACTAAGAACAAAGTCCATATTGTTTATTCCATTCCCAGCCTCAGCTTCCCCCACTTTACCTCCTCCCCCACTCCCAGGCTTGCCAATTTGCAAACAGATCAGAAAAATCCCCAATGGGCTGAAAACCTGTCCATGCTTTACTCCAGCTGGAAAGAATTGTGCTCCACCAAGATTCAGACCCCGTTTATAATGGAAACCCTGACGGGCAGTGTTGTGATTATAGTCTTGCCATAATGAATGTATCTGTGTGGTCAAAGTCACGGATTTTTCCATGGTATTTTTCCATGGGAGATTTCCTCCCTGAGAGATGTTAACTTAGAATCTGGATCATAGCTTTGACTTTCGAGCAGGATCTCCCCTGGCATCCATAGAGCTTGAAGTCAGTGACTGTATTGACTTTGGTAGGCCTGATTGGCAAGGGAGATATTAGTCAAATTTTTTTTTTTTTTTTTTTTGCAAGATTGACGAGGGTAGGGGATAGGGATCTGCTGGTTTAGAAATTTATGTCAGGAAACTTGTCCAGTTTCCCAGATTTTTAACCAGGGAGTATGTCCTCTCCTCTCTGAGCTGGTGGTTACATTAAAGGACAGAAAGTGAATAGGGCTGAGAGGTATTAGGGTGACCAGCCATCCCAACTGGCCTGGGACTATTTGGTGTCAGCCCTAAAACCTTGCATCCCAGAAAACCCTCCAGCCCCAGGAAAACCAGGATAGTTGGTCATCATAAATAGTATGGAAAATTGAATTAAGTTCAGAAGGGCAGAAAAGTAATAACCTTATTTTAAAGAGAACAACCAGACTGAGGTTTAAAGTAAAATCCCTTCTTGATGCTTAAAATACCTAAGCATAATCAGCATTTAACTTGAGAACATATTCAGGAAACAGCTCAAAAAGAACGTACGAGTCTCACGGTTGGCGCAGCAGAATGTGATGTGAAAAAACAAACAAACCACGAATCTGGCTAACAATTTCAGAGGTTAACCTCTCCTCTGGTCTTTTGGAAGCATAAGCAGAACGAAGCATCGCTCTGGGGTTTAGGTCCCCCTTAGGGGACTGTTGCCAAAGCTCCCACCACCTCGAGGCTTTCCTCAGAATCTTGGCTGCTTAGCAAATCCCTCTTCTCTCTGCCAGAAGAAGAAAAAGATGCAGAAGAAGGAAGTCAGAAGCCCATCTTGGGAGCAGGGGATCCTTACCTGAGCCCCCACATAACGCCCTATCCAAGGGTCTCCCCTTCTGGATCTTCTCTCAGGTTCCTCTGGTTGCCTTTCCCAGGGCTGTGAGAGCCATCCTTAGGAACTGGTACGCTGCCTGGGGTCAAGAGCAAGGAAGGAATACAGAATCAAAACGAAGGCCAGTATGGCCAACGCCAGAGCCAAAAACATTGGTCCAGGAACCCCAGGACAAGGCTGTAGAGCAATGAGAGGAAATGGATATCAGAGCTCCTTTTTGATGTCCAAAAAGATCCATCAGGACATGAATATCGAATTTATCTCTGGAGTCATAAACGCCGAGGCTTAGGGGTATGTCTAGCATCTCTTTCTGGAGTCGTGAATTCAGAGTCTTGTTGGACGTGCACTAACTCGGCAACAAAGTCCAGTCCTGGCAGCTGGAGAAACTCAGCCCGAGGGGCTGGACTATTCCCCTCTCGCCACAGAAGGTGGGCTTGGCCACATGAGTGGATGAGGTCACAGAGCATGGGCAGGACTGGCAGGGTGGCCTGCTGCCGCCTGGTCCTCAGGGAATTCCTGGCTGGTGTGTCCACTGCTCCTCTCCCCCGGACGTGGAGCGCACGGCTCTGACCGGCACCCGAGGCAGAGCCCCGGGAAGGCCCCGCAGACCCCAGAGGGACAAGGAAGTGTGTGCTGCTGGAGGCCGCAGGTACGTGTGTTTCAGTTCCAAGCTCACTCAGAACCCCTGCTTTTAAAAGAGGGAACTTGACTTTGTTTCATCCAATCGGATTCTGTCGTGCTGCTCCGCACCTGTCCGATAGCAGCTGTGACAAGGTGTTCAAGCGTCCTCTTTGTGCCAGGCTCCCTGCTGCTGTCATGGGCGCGCAGGAGACCTCACAACTTCCGTTCTCACCTTTCTGCTCTTTCAACATCGAGGTAAAACTGACATGCACTAGTTTCAGGTGTCCCTCGTGCTGTCCCTTTTGTGCTGTTACTGCACATTACAGAAGGGTCGCATCTGTCACCCCCTAGTTAAAAGTTGTTTTTCTGCTTCTTAATAGAAGTACCGGCTATGAATTATGTCTTTGGGGCAGCGAAGGTCACAGAAAGCGTTTCACTGTCAGCTCAGAATCTAAGTAACTCAGTCAATAGAAACCAATTGCTTTACCCTCCTCTTGCTCAAGGGAGGGGTGCAGAAGACAAGGAAAAGCGGAAGCCTCTTCCCAACGGCCACAGCCTGGGGGCCAGTGGGTAGGGAGGCAAGTGCTGGAGGGCTTGTGCAAGGCGTGGCGGGGGGTGGTGCTCTGCTCTCCCTCCCACCACGGGGCTGCGAAAGCCCACTTCTGCAGACTGCGTTCAGTCCCCTGCCTCAGCGGACTGGCCAAGGCAGCAGTGGTAGGAGGGGGGTCGTCCCCAGTAGCACAGAGGGAATCTGCTTGCCCCGCCACGAGAGCTTTCCAGGGTCTGATGGCCTCCTCCTGTGGCAGCGGGGGTCCTCTGCCATCCCGTTTCTGAAACTCCATCCCCCACATCCCACAACCTTGTCAACAGCCCATTGGTCAGACTTCCGATTACTCTGTGGAAGCGGAAGAGCATCGGTCTTGTTCTTACAAGATCAAAGTCCTCCTCCAAAAAGGCAGGGGGTCTGTAATGGTCTTACAAACACCCATCTCCAAAGTGGCTTGCTCAGTGGGGTCAGGCGGGCTCAGTTGGTGGAGCGTGCCACCCTTGATCTCGGGGTCATGGGTTGGAGCCTCACATTGGCTGTGTGATTCCTTTAAAAAGTAAAATAATAAAAAACAAAACCAAAATGGCTATTCAGAAGCATTGCTTGTGGAAGTACAATCCTTGGTCATCTAGGAAAAAGCTTGAAGTTCAATTCCACTTACTGCGTGTTGACTGACCTCTGGCCATGAGCTGCCCCTCGACTTACTTACTCCCCGGGGCAAAGAGCTGAAGGAGACAACTGGCCGCTAGCACCGTACAGTCGCTGTAGAAACATGGGAGTCGGCCCTAATTTCCCTCGGGTTCTGGAGAGACCCGGGTTTCCTGCTTTTTAGAAACGGCAGTGAAGGTAGTGTTTGTCTGGTCGGTACTGTTTAAGGGTACTGGTAGTCCCTTTCTTGCGTCCCCTGCGGCTTCATGGGATAAGAAGGAAGTGAAGTAGCCTTAAAGAAATCGAGATAACCATGTGGGCAGGTGCGACAGCAGACATAAGATAAATATCCTTGGAGCCAAGATCATGGGAGCGACACGTGTGTTTTGAGGCTCTGGGTGATGGCCACTTACGGGGGCGGTGATGGCCGCTGGATAGATCAGTAGAGAATGCTGAGCTTAGCAAGCAGCTGTTCGGCTCCTCCTAATATTCTAGGGAGGAAAGGAGTAGTTTCGGATGCCTGGGAGCTGGTCTGGTGCCCACCCTGAGCCCTTTCTCCCACCTCTCACTAAGCCGCCTCCATGGGGTACAGCCCCCTGGCTGCGAGGGGTCATGAACCCAGCTGGTTCAAGTCCAGGTGGCCCCTGGGGCTCTTGACCTGAAGGGTTTTGGCCTTTCCCTCTAAAAATGTCTTACTTGTGTCCCACACATCCAGAGCACAAAGATGAAGACACGTCATGCAGGGAAGTGGAACCCTCTGTCCAGTAACTCTTTCTTCAAGGGCTCAAGGGCATTTGGTCCCTGGCGAGCCTTTGGCAGGGGAGGGGAAAGGCCAGACATCCTGGCCCTGAGAAGCGCCTTCTATTATCCAGGGCTGAGTCACCAATGCCACAACCCACACTTTCTGAATTAAGAGTGTCCCCTTGACCAAACCCTGCTCAGGCTCCCCTGAACTTTTCAACTAGGTCTATACTTGCATGTTTCTCTCTGCTTTGTCCAGTATTAGCAGGAATCCTCCTGAGTCAGTATTAGTGGAAACCTCCACGTTCAAGATCTCATCACCGTCTGTATCTGGTCAAGATCCCCAGCCCCACCGGCCCCAGGTGGGGTCTGACACCCCAGCCTGCCTTCAGCAGGAAGGCTGTTAGGTTGGTTTAGCTGGAGTCTTTCCCTTGCCCCCCACGCCTCCTCTCAGTGCGTTTCCGTCCACTGACCCACGCTACTCCTCCCCCATCAGTCCCTACTCGTCCATGCTCTATCCAGAATGGCATCCAGGTGTAGACCTCTTAACCGCTACTGCAGTGGTCCTGCAGTTTTTACTGCTTTCCTGATGTCCAGCTCTGGTTCATCGCAGACACTCCTTCCACCAGCCAGCAGTCTGGGCACTCCTACTTCTGGTGCCAGAAGTTTGGAGCCTCGGTCTGCTCTCTGCCCTTGCCGTCTATGGCCAGCAACAGGGACAATGACAGCTGACAGCTCCCTGCAAAGTCACACTGCAGTTCCTCTCTGGGACTTGACCATTGTCTCTAACCCAGAGGTGTCTGGCACAGGTAGAAAGGACCAGCCACAAACAGTACCCAGCCCTCTGGGTGGGCACTGCCTTCTGCTTCCGTGGTTTCTGACCACACTTCTCCAGCCAGCTCTGAAGGAAGTGATGGAAACACCTGTCCACAAAGAACCCACATCAGGGGAAAACTGAGACCACAGGTAGCATCTCAGACGAAGTGGAGGAGGGAGCGGAGCAGTGCCGTGTGAGGTCGGGGTGGAGAGGAGCCACCTGACTCATCGCTGCTGGACGCCAGGCCTGGGGAAGGAGGGCTGTGTGTTTAGGATCTTCCCACAAGGTATCATAAAATGATGCAGGAAAAACACATTTTCCGGAGATTAATAACCCCTCAGTGTCAGCAGAAGCGAACGGTACCAGGAACGCAGAATAAAACAGAACTCTGGGTTTTACCTTTGCATCTCCTAGAAGCCAGAGTCACAAAAATAAAGTAAAATAAAATAAAAGAAGGATCATATCGTTCATAAAAGGAAGCAGGCGATTTTATGGAAGCCCCTCCCCTCCCCCACACCATGATGGGAAGTGTGCCCTACGCGTATGCGTTGTTTGCAGGGACACCTAGAAATAGTCCACTCCAGTTTCCCCAGGCTTCGGTTGTGCCAACTGAGTCCCAGACGGGGTGTGCACTGGGGGTACAGGTGTCGGAAATGGGATTCTCCTGTCCCCAAACCCAGTGACCCACTAGTGTGACCGGTCTGTGGTCAGATGGAGAAAGTCAGCAGTCCCGGTGGGCAGCCTCACACTTGGGAGTGGACGTGAGGCAAGGATTGTCTGCAGGCTGCAGACTCAACCTTTGGCCATGAGATCCGTGTCACAGCAGTGGCAGGAAGGTTCCGGTCCCGTGTGGGCTCCTGCTGCTCCCCATGCTCTGAGCTGCTCAGGGCTCTGCCAACGCAGCCCACGATGGGGCAGAAGCTTCTGGAAGGTCCCAGGCCTAGGATCAGGCTGATGTCAGCCATGGCAGCAGGGAAGGGCCACGTGGCCAGCCAAGGGGAGCAGGATGTCGGCGGAATTGCCTGCCTGCCCGGCCCCCCTCGACCGTGGCACTGAAGTCCAGTGTGTAGCCCTCTGGTCCTTCCCCTCCTCTCCGCCCACCCGCATTCCTGCTCCGCCCTGGAGAAAGAGCCCCAGCCCCTTCCTCCAGGTTGTGCTCCCTCTGTCCTGTGGACTGCTTCTGGGCAGGAGCTGGGTCCCGACTGTCGTTGGCAAAGGAGACGAAACTGGAGGTTTCCAACATGTCTGCTTCTGAGGTCAGGACACCCTGAAACTCAGAGCCTTTCTCTGAGGACGGGGGTCCTGGGGTAACAGTGGGAGCTCTGGCTGGGAAAACAGGGGTGTCTTTTACTGGGGTTAGGGCTGGTTCACCCCCGCCACCAGGAGATGAAAGTGGCCAGGACTGTCTTCTCCAAAGGCTGCGTTGATCTTAGACACATTTCCTGTGTCTTTAGGGCAAGTCACACCAACAGCCAGTGATGGTGACTGAGGAAAGAATCCTCCAGAGCAGTCCGGCTTTCTAGCCCAGCGTCGGGGGGTCCCCACAGTGGGCTAGGGGCCTTCCCCTGGCGGGTGAACTCGTGACATTCCCCCTGGTGAGTGCCTAGGCTCCCCAGCTTCTCCCCAGCTGGAGCCGAGGCCGGGGAGGGGCTTCCTTGCCTGCGTTACCTCCTCTTGCGATGGCACACGACTCCCAGACAGACGTGGCCCTACCACACCAGCCCTGCCACCTGTCTGTGGAGCTGGGGGGCTGCAGGCTGTAGTAAATGACCAGCGAGATGCTGCTTGAGACAGAAGAAAAGGAAGAGCATGAGGTTATTATGTTCTTCGAAGTTCTGCAACCACCTCTCCTCCCTCCCGCCCCGCCCCCCGGGGCCTGAAAACTCCAGACTCCAGATTCCTGAGTACAGGAATATAACTGGATCCCGAACGGGGCTGTCGCTGGAGTACCAGAGCTCGGTATTTGCCCAGAATTAAGGGGGCTCCAGCAGCTGCAAATAGTTCTAAACTGAAAAACGTAGTAACAAAGTTTAATCCTACTGATACTATGACTTCTTTCTCTTGGGCAGCTCTAACTGAGCTCTCTGGGTGTGCGTGTGTTTGCATGTGTTTGCATGTGTTTGCGTGTGTTTGCGTGTGTCCTGCAGAAATGCTGATTTTGCTTTCAAATGACTGGATCAAATGCTTAGAACAGAGCCATCCACACGCCAGCCAATGGGCTCCAAAACTGGGGGTGGGGGGAGGCAAGGAATCATCTCAAAAACAAGACCCAAGTAAAGGTTAAACATATCCATCAAAAACCCCATATCAAGGAATTTCCATGAGCAGCAACAACACTTCCTTTGTGCATAAACATCTTAATCACATTGTTGTCAGTTTAATTTATTTTGATCAGAAGTGTTGACTACGGCAATAATTTCTTTAACAGAGCATTCCAGTAACCTCCCACGTTATTTCCAGTTTCCTGTTGTACTAGATCAAGTGCCTGGTTTCAAGGCGCTCGTTATAAACAGCAAGAAACCTGCAGTAGGCACGGGAGGGCGCACCCGAGGGGCTGGCAGCCTGCGGCGTTCGGGGGCTGGGGGGCGCCTGACGAATGACTCGTCAGATCCTCTCTATTTTCAGGGGACAAGGCGTGGGGGATCACAAAGCAGGCCCAGTCCACAGAGCTTAGAGTTTTTCTCTCTCCTTAAATTAACCGCATCTCATCAGCTCTCTGGTCCTGCTGAGTCAAGTTCTTAAGTTTGTTTCAAAGCCATTGCCTTTTTTCTGTCCTTATTGCCATTTTCATGGCAGTTCTGATCTTACTGCTTCCTGTCTGGGTCCTATGGTTTCCTCTGTCCTCATTCCCTGTCCACAGTCTGTCCTCCCCACCATCTGGTGACCTGTTCCCCCTGCAGATCAGACCTTGTCATCCCTCCCTAACACACCTGGGGAATAACCCCCTCTCACCTCAGGGGCACCAAGACCCCACTTCTTGACAACGCGGGCAAACCTGTTTACAAGGCGTCCCCAGTCTTCCTTTCCAGAGTCATCTTCCAACCTGCTCTTCCCACGGTGACTGTGCTAGCTAACAGGACGGGCCAACCTGCCTGGGCTAAGGGACGCCCGGGTGCCGGTAAAACGTCATTTTGAGCTGTGTCTGTGAGGGTTTCCAGAAGAGGTTAGCAGTTGAATCAGTAGACTGAGTAAAGATCATGACCCTCCCCCCTCACCAGGGCAGGTGGGCCTCGTCCAATCTGTGCAGGATCCGAATAGAACAAAAACATGGAGAAAGGGCGAATTCTCTCTGTTCTTGAGCTGAGACATCCATCTTCTCCTGTCCTTGGACATCCGAGCTCCTAGTTCTCAGTCTTTTGGACGCCGACTGAATGACACCACATTTTCCTCATTCTCCAGCTTGCAGAAGGCACACCATGGCCTACCTCAGCCTCCAAAATTGTGTGCACCCATAATAAATTTCCTCTCACGTATCTCTTTATGTCCTATCTGCTCTGTTTCTCCGGAGAACCTTGACCGACACACCACCACCGCCAAAAAAGTCTCTCTCCTTGACCAAACCTGATGCAGACAGGCATCTTGAAGCCCTCTTCCTGACTCGGCCTCAAGCCCGGCCTGTAAAAACTTGGCACAAATGAGATTGTGGTCAGCTCCTCACTGTCGCGATGGACTGAGTAAGTTCTCTGTCATCACCTTTCACTGCTCATCTCAGGCTGCCCACGCTGCTTTCCTGCGGGCGGCCTGATGCTCCGTTTTGCTTCTGCACCTTTGCCTGCCACGCCCCCACCCTCTCACCCCCCTTTCTTCCTGCCGGGCTCCTCCCCCCCGAGACCCGCTCGAATGCCACCTAGTGTAAAGCCTTCTCTGACACCCCTCTCTCTGCCTCTTGCGTTCCTGAGGGGTTTTCTCCATATAGAGCTCGCATCCATGGCTCGGGGTCTTTGAGGCCACTGAGGTTCGACCTTCCCACACTCCGGCCTCTGAGTCTGTTTCCAGCACACGGAGGACGCGGTGTGTGCACGCTTAAGTGGGCGAGCCGGTAACAAGTGGAAGAGGTCCAGCCTGGCTCTCTGGGGCATTTGACAGTCATCCAGAGGCCGGCTGCCTCCTCTGGAAGGGAAGGCGAGGCAAGGCGTTCTCAGTCAGGCTGGCCGTCAGCACCCCCTGAGCCCCTTCAGACCTGTGGGCCCGAAACCCTGGCAAGGCACCTGGAAATCAACTTTCAAAAGCTCCCTGAGTGCCTCTAACAACCAGCCAGGCGGAGAAGTGGGGGCCTCGAAGCCCCAAGGCCCTCCCAGCTCAAAGGCTCTCAGCCCCACCACTGGGCGGTGTGGCTTGTTGGTTATGGCTGGACTCGTAGCATCAGACCAGCCGGATCTGAACGCTGCCTCTGTCTCACCAGATGCCTGACTTGTTGTGCCTCAGTTTCTGCATCTGTAAAATGGGTTTCATTCTGAGGAGTGCTGTGAGAAATGGGACAGTTAATGAGCTTAGAACAGTGTCTGGTGCATGATGATCCTGACCAAAATGTCCGCTATTACTACGAATTCTGTTAGTACTCCCAGGACCTGAAGACGAGAACAAGAGGTCATAGGAGGGTAGGAACAAGTCCTAGCACAGAACCTACAAAAACACAAATGCTTCATACTTCTGTTCAGTGAATCAATGAAAGAGGAAGTCCAGAAGTTCCTGCTTTGACCTTGGGTCCACGCTGTCTGCTTTTTAAGCAAAACTATTAACCATTAAAAATCAGAGCTACTCTAAGCCCCCAGGTCCATCCTTCTTAGAAAGTGGATTTCCTGGTACTCTGTGGTCTTTTGGTCTTTGGAACAACAACTATAATTTTCTCTTTGCCAGCACAATATAATGTACCCCAAAGGAGTCACTTTCGTTCGGGGTCAAGGTTCATGTGTCTTCTAGAGAAGGTGTCCGTTGGGAAGGGTGGAGGTCCATGAAAGGACAGAGGGACAGGCCTGACATTTACGGGGTGTTGGCAGGAAGCTTGGACCAGCCAGCCAGGGATCAGGGCCTGGTCTGGGCAACATCGCCGGCCGGTGATGGACAGCATCACCGGCTGGTGACCCTGGACATGCAGGTCCCTTCTGTGAGTGGAGTCTGGGGCTCCATGCGCTGGCTAAGCCGAGCCTGAAGGCATCTGTGAGTCACCTGGAGGAGGGCCGCTCGGCACCCCTGCTCTCCTCCAGGTTCCGCTTTCTCCCCTTCTCGCTTACCTGCACTGACCTCGGGGGTCTCATGACCGAGCAAGCCGCTGGGAAGGACAAAGTTCTCGTTTTCCTTCCTCACCTCAGGGCCTCCTAGACTTCTGGGGAGACGACAGTGACAGACGGCAAATGGAGACCCTTCCTTTTTGTCCCTCCAGCTCGTCAGCACACCGGCAGGGAGACACTGCTCTGCAAAGGATCCCTCCTGTTTGTTTGCGCATGCGGAGCTGGCTCGAAGCTGCCGCACCATCTGGGGGGGGGGGGGGCCCACGTGTTCCTCCTCCTCCTGCATGGCGAGGTGGGCACCGTTACTCCTGGTTCTCAGATGGGGAAACTGAGGCTTGGAGAGGGTCCATGTCATGTCCAATACCACGCATCCGCCCGTCTGTGGGCCCCAAGGCCTGCAGGGTTGATCAGCTGATCGGGGCTCTTCTAAAGGCAGGAGGGGCTACCCCCGACTGCCGGACAGATGCTGCCCCTCCTGCCCCTTCCCTTCGCTCACGGCTCTGTCCTGCGGGGTCTGCTCCCCTGAAAGTCCCTTCCCCCTTTCATCACCAATAATGGCCATGGGGTGTCCGTTCTCATGTGCCACGTTACTTATTTAACCCTCCCAGGCGGCCCCGAGAAGTGAGTGAATTTTATAATCACCTCAGCAGCACTGGGAGGCCCCGTTCTCAATGTGTGGCAAGAAAACAGGTGTGGAGGGTGTCAGTCCTTAGCCGAGGCGGTTGGTATCAGGGAAGAGCGAGCCACAGTCCCAACGTGAGCTCCTCATCCCAAAACCTGTGCCCCAAAGTGCCAGCTGCCTTTTCTCTCCCTCGCTCTTGGCAATGTGAGTTCAGGAGGTGTCGAAGGAGATGGTTGTGAACCTCCCTCTCCCTGTGTTTTTAGTCGCTGCTTCAGGCACTACAACCCCCCCGCGTCCAACGGGAAGAGCTCTGGGCCCTGGGAGGTCTGAAGCCAACGCTGACCTGCCTCTGCCACCCCAGAACTTCTTGGAACGGGAATTCATTGGCGCAACAAATGTGTTCTGCCAAACATCGAGCTGTCCTTGCTTTCGAGCCCAAGAAGAAGAGGCAGCTCTCGTCCTTACGGTCACAGAACGTGGAACTGGGTGCGTCTCTGAAACTGGGACAGGCACGGGGCTGAACAAGGAAAGGAAGGGGGGTTCCCTGAGGACATGAGTGGGGGCTGGAGGGGGATGGAGAGGTGAGGTGGAGGTGGGCCTGCGAGGTGGTTCAGGCCCTGAATTTCACGTCAGAGGGCCTGGAGTTCGCCCTGGGAGAATGAGTTGGGCCGAGCTCTGCATGGTGTGTTTGGGGTACGGGATGGCTGCGTATGTGTGTACATGTGACAGACTGAATGCATCCTTCCAAAATTCCTATGTCAAAGCTCTAGTCCCCAGTGTGATGGTTTTAGGAGGTGGGGCCTCTGGGAGGTAATTAGGATCAGAAGAAGTCATAGGTGGTCCCTGATCAATCAGCGCCCTCACGAGAGGAGGAAGAGTGGCCAGAACTCCCTTTCACTCTTCGATCCTTTGCTCACGTGCAGGGAAAGGCCAC